TTTGTGCATAGAGCAGAACACTTTGAAACAGCATTTCTGTAGATGACTGGACTCATTTGCTTTAAGTCATTTCTCAACATCGTGAAAAATGAGGTTCAGTGTGTGTGACGCACACCTTAAGTGTGGAGGGAGAGAAAACTGTCACTTTTACCTTTAGACGATAAATTTAGATTTTAAATTCAATATTGATATATACAAAACTGTTGAAATTATTTACAATATGTGTAACGCAAGTACATTATAAGTAACTGTAATTAAATTACCTAAAAATGAAGAGTAATTCCTTGCTTTACTTTTTCAGCAGATAAGTAATTTAATTACAGTAACGCGTTACTTAGTAACGCGTTACACCCAACACTGCTCTCCACTCAGGTTTTTCACTCTCTTTCAAATGAAGCATACCACGCCAAGCAGTATCACATTTTTTTATCCAAGGTCTTCTTATTAAAGATTTGAGAACAGATTTTGTAACAGACCTTTCCAGGTCTGCTTTACTCTCAGCCCATTACCTTTGACAAGAAAGCAAATGAATGAGTCAACTGTAGAAAACCTGGCAATGTCAAGTCAGTTAGAGAAAAAAAATTACAAGATATTTGAAAGCATGAAACCATGACGACTCACTAAGAAAGAAAGTTTTACTCACTTGGATCACAGACAGAACAGGGCAGACATTCTGTAAATCCATTAGGAGCATCAGTGTAAGTCCTCACAAGGCATGAATCACATGTTGTGCTTGTGTACTCATCACAATGTTTATGAACTCGCTTTCCTAGACAATATAAAAAAAAAAATTGCCAGCACATTTATTATACATTATTTATACATGCCATATGTAACAGTATAAGTTGTATTTATTGTATGTCTGTATTTCCCTTCCGAGGGAACTTCGAACTGCGTCCTCTAGGGGTCGCTATGGCCTTCGGCGTGACCGGTGTCTGAAGCATACATCTAAACACGACAATGATATTGGCCGGCGACAGCCTATGACGTCACTACCGGTGCGACCGCAGTATAAAAGGGCGCCAGTAGAACACGTCATCCTCTTCTTTGTCTTCACGACTGTTTGTTTGGAGTTGCATACTGGTGAGAACACGATTCTGTTTGTTGTTATCATGGCAAGCACTAGCACTAGCAAGGCGTTTAGGAAGTGTGTGGATCCGTGTCAGCGTTATCTGACACCCGATGACACACACGATCTTTGCGTCGCGTGTTTGGGCGAGGAGCACACGCGTGACGTCCTCGAGGGGGTGGCATGCGTTCATTGCGAGCTTTTCTCCATGAGAAAGCTCCGCTCTCGTTTGGCCCTCTTTTCGAGTAAGGAGGGGCAGCCATCGGTTCCCCGGAGCTCAGGACCTGCCGCTGCTGAGACACGGAGGAAACTGAGTTCATGGGGTTCTCAGGTGGAACTGGCCGATGAATTGAAGAAGGGGCTTTTCCTTACTCGTTTGTCGGTAACGGACGAGAGTGAGCTGTTGGAGGATGTCGCTATTTCTCTGACGTCATCTGATCCAGCAGCTAGTGCTCTGCTGGCTCCCAGCCAGGAAGAGCAGGAGATGTTAGATGAGGACAAGGAAGTTGAGACTGAGTCCTCTCAAACCTTGTTATGGAACAAGGTTATGGAACGCGCCACGGCAAGGCTTGACTTACCGTGGAAGCGGACTAGGAGGGTGGCGTCTCACGGCTGGCTCAATGAGCGCTATCTTTCTGATCATAACCCTCCATCCCAGGTGAGCCTTCAATTTCTTCCTGATCTTCATGTGGAGATCGTGAAGACTTGGAAAAATCCGCTCTCTTCACGTGTCCACAGATTTCAGCAGTCTAGTTATGCCAACATCGAGGGGATGCGCGAAAGCGGATATGAGAAGGTGCCTCCCATTGAAGAGACGCTAGCCTGCTATCTCGCTATGGGAGAAACATCTTCTCTCAGGACTCCCTCCTTGCCATCCAGACCCCTTCAAATAACATGTTGTCTTGAATGGCAAGGCGTACGCAGCAGCAGGTCAGGCGGCGGCTTCATTGCATACCATTATCAATGATACCATATCATACCATTCTTTTTGTTGGTCGAGCTTAGCAGTGCTCCCCTCACTTATGGCGCTTTTCCACTGCGTGGTACGACTCGGCTCGGCACGGGTTGCGTTTCCACTGCAGTTCAGTACCGCTTTAGAGTGGGCGGGATTATTCACATGTCGTTATAGTTGCGCCGCCTCTACTACCACGACTCCTAAAAAAAACGTTTTCATTCCACTTCGCCCTATCAGGCTCTCGCTGGATCCGCTCCTCTGCTATCAACGAGAGGAACGTCTGTTCTTCCACAACAGGCAACAAAACTTTTTGGTTGTTAAAAAAAGGTGCGCTCGTTCAAAACAGTTGCGTTCGATCCTTCGCTGGCTGTGCTGATTTAAATCTAGCGGTTCTTTTGTGTTTATGTCGCAAGTTCAGTGACGCAGATAGTGACGATTCTGTCCAGCCAATCCATGATCAGCAGAATTTACACGTCACGTTTTGGTAACGGTACGGTTCACTTGGAACCCCAACTGAGGTGGTACTAAAAAAAGTACCAGGTACCAGGTACTGCACCCAGTGGAAAACCCCCAAAAAGTGAACCGTACCGAGCGGTACCGTGCTGTACCATGCAGTGGAAAAGTGCCATTAGAGGGTCACCTATGAGCACACTGCTCCCAGTTTGAAGTGTGACTGTTTTGGTTGAGTTGGTGATTCTCCCCTCACATGGAGGGTCTTTCTATGAGATACACCTTTTTCAATCTACATGCGCTCTGAGCACGCGGCCTCCCACTGAATTATTGTTCTTGGTTACCCTTTAGTAACGGTGTTGCTAAATCCATGCTATGGTAAGTGCACACGCTCAGCTTCTGTGCACTTTCTAAAATCCACATTGTGGTAAGTGTGCACGCTAGGAATTTTGCGCACTTTCTAAAATCCTGTATGGTAAGGGTTACGCGCTGTAGCCTCGTTCCCTTTCTGTGAGTTGGTTAGGCCCAGGTTTTCGCCTTGGGCTCCACTCAACCTATGTCTCCCTGTTGGTTCATTACGGTATTTCTAAATCCATATCTATGGTAAGTGCTCACACTAGTTCTCTGTGCACTTTCTAAGTCCATATTCATGGCAGGTGCGCACGCCAGCCTTTGTGCACCTTCTTAGAAGCTTTTGTGGTAAGGGTGACGCGTTGTTGTCTCGTCCCCTTTCTCTGAGTTGGCTCTGGCCCCGGTTACCTTGGGCCCCACTCTCTGCATATTCACTTTCTAGACAGGGTGTTACTACTAAGTTTCCCTGGGTATCTTGAGATCCTCGGTAGCTCGTTCTTAGAGCAGGAGGTAGTCTCTGTTTTGACAGGCCAGGATATGGGGTTGTAAGTAGCCCTGATACTCTGCCTTATCCCCTTAAAGGAATCCTTGGTTATTTTTTGATTCCAGGCTTGAGCTTTGCTCTGGGCTCGGGCTTTATACAAGCCAGCCCTTACAGGTAAGTTTGGTGCACAGCTCAGGCCTTTGGCCGTAGGGGATTATGTCACTGACAGCCGTCAAACGTCCTAGGGGCAGCTCCTTTGACTTGTTGAGTTGTTACTTAGTGCTCGCCTTGGTATTGGCATTCACTCCCCTCAGCATGGCAGCGTGGGTATACCGTTCCCCATAGCGACCCCTAGAGGACGCAGTTCGAAGTTCCCTCGGAAGGGAACGTCTCAGGTTACGTATGTAACCATGGTTCCCTGAGAAGGGAAC